CCCTAACGTTCTGTGATTCTGTGATTTGCCAGTCATCAGCACAAAGATGTTGGCTGGATCTGTGTGCTAATGCAGGTTAAAATAATTAAAAATAGAGGTAGAGGGAGAAGAGAGAGAGACCAAGGAAAGAGCATTGTAGGTAACTCCAAGAGCTAGCTGGGAACAGAAAGGGAAAGATGTTCAAGGTAGCCTTTAGAGGACTAGAAAGAGAATGAAGAGAGGCTCAAACGATTGAGAAGATCCAGTTTTGGTAAAAGCAGCATCAGTAGTGCCAGCAGATGCTGAGGAAGAGCTGGCTTGGAAGAGGGCGGTAAAGAAGAGGGGGGAATATGTGCTACAGAAGGTTTGGGCTGGAGAGGAGTATCTCCCAACAGCAGTGGTCATGGCAACAGAGATGATGTTTAGGATGAGAGGGGTAGATAGGATGAGGTGGGATCTAGAGAGTGGCACTAGGAATAAGTAGTTGAATATTTGGCTGTGACGTCTATGAAAAAAATGAAGTTATTTTTTCAATAGCTATTCAGGATCCAAAGAGTATGACATTACCAATCTTTTTGTTCTCTTGCTTTTCTGACTGTCATCTAAAAACTTGGCTTCTGTTTTGTGGTTGTTTAGGGTCTGCCCTTTATGAGATGCTTTGTACAATGTAGCCTTCAAATCTTCCTTCTCTTTATTACTACCCCTGCCCTTTTTTATCTTCCGAATGTCATCTATTTCATTTGAGAATTGTACCCTGGGGTGTTTAAATTATGTATGAATGTAGAGTATTTGGGATGAGCTATTCACAAGTGCTTTCAATTTGCCATCTGAGCTTTGAATATGAGCAGAATCACCAATATTTTAGTTTCTAGGGCACTCTTAAATGTGCAGTCAAGATGCAGCGTTTGTTCCTAAGTGCTCAGTTTTTTATGCAGCTTCTAGTGAGACCTTATGAACCTTCCACATGAATTTTCCTTAGAGTAAATTGCTTGCACAGAGCAAGGAAATTCCTGTTGGTTTGTAGCATGGATGTCTACTCTGAGATCCTCCTTCCTCTGGTAGCGTTCTCTCTAGCAGTCTGCCTCTGTAGCTAAACATAACTTGGTTTGAGTTTCTGAATGACAGGTGATTGACTTGACATCTGTCAACATGCGAGATCTCCTGCTCAGAAATGTGTTGTCTTTTCTGATTGCCTCTGTGTAGGCAAATGGTCTTTCCCAAACAGTTTGCTCTGTTTTTCTTGTTTTGGAAGAGCTGAGCACACTCTTCACTCATACCCTGTTGCTCGATCATTCAGTTATACTGATTGATACCTACTCTAGGATGCTGCATGGAGACTGAAGGCAGAAGAAAGGAGGGTTTGAGGCATGAGTTAAATGGAGGGAGAAGTGAGAGCTGGTGTTGTGTGCACAGGATTAAAACACGTGGCATTTAAAGTATCTGGTGCAGCAGGGCTGCAGGAGATAGAGAGATGACAGAAATGAAGATGTAGCTGTTCTGATAAGAAACAAATAATTGAGGGATGACTAGAGAAAGCTCTGTCTCTGTCCCAGCACTGCACAATAAAGAGCTTTAGCTGATAGTTGCCTGCTAAGACAGATGTTGTCACATCTGTAGAAGTTATCCTATTTGGTGCTGTAGATCGAACGGATCCATAGCCACAAGAAAAAGATACACAGTAAAAGTGATTGCTGCAGATATTCGAGAAGCATTGCTTTGACTGTCACCCACAGAAACAGAGGTTGTTGCTGCCAACATCTCCATCTGTTGTCCAGCAGCAGTTGTCAAGCCTCTACTTCTGATGATGTTTTGCTGTGGAGCACTTGGAAAGGGCACAAAGCTCTAATGCTGTCACAGAGCAAACCAGAAGCTCTGGTGAGTGGTTTAGCAAACATTTTTGGGGAGCAGCTTCTGATTGTGCCTGTGAAGGTCTTGCAGCCATTTTCTGGCAATTCTGTGCTTTTTCTGCAGACTGCTAACTGTTAAACATCACTTCTAAAGCATTACAGAAATGGGGGGGCAGGGAAAAATGCTGTGAGCTTCAGTGGGCAGGATCCTAGTGATTTGTAGTAGAATTTAATAAGCTGCATGAGAAGAAAGGGAGAGGGAAAATAAAGGCCATATGGGATCCTAGGCACTTGCAAAGATATTTGAAACTACACCTTTGCCAGTTGTCTGTACTCAGCTGCTGTTTCACAGCAGCCTTTATGTCTTCCAACATTATGCTGCTGTCCCCCATCTCCCCAGCAGAGCTGAGCATGATAAAGCTTTGAATGATGCTTCTCCAAAACAAGAAGAATTGTGCCAAGAACAAAGGTGCTTGGATAGGCAAGGTTATGCCCAAGGAGAAAAAAGGTTATATATTTAACACCAGAGGATAGTGGGTATGGATGTTTGAGTAAAGGGCACTGGGGAGGTGAGCAGAGCAAGGAGGGATGAGAATCACAAGGTGGCCAACACAAGGACGCTCGAGATAGAGGGGAGCACAGAGGGAGGGTGTCAGGTGCACAGGGAACTCTGCTAACAAAACCTATGGAGTAGTAGCATCCTCGTAGGAAAACAGGGACATCTCAGTAGACGGTTGCATGGTGGGCACGCTCTTTAAAGTAGCTGCTTGCAGACCCAAACCAGCCCACGGTGAGGGACCCAGTGGCTCACCAGCAGACTGTCTCGTCCTTTGGGAGTATTCTATGGAGAACAGGAGGAAGAGAGACTCTTGGTTGGCTAACACTTACTGCAGTAAGGGAGGGAAGATGTAGGACACTTTCCTAGGCTTAGAGATTCCTGCGTTGTTTTCAGCTCAGCTGCTAATCCAAGGTCAAAACTAATCTGTCTGCATCTTTTTGTCTCCACTGCCTTGTCTGTAGATTTTAAGGGCTTAATGTGTGGTCTCTGTGCTGACACAATAATAACCTAATCTTAATTTTGATTTTAGTAATGATGAAATACCTTTGCTGTGAATTTGGAACAATCTGCCCTTTGTATGGATTCTGCTGTTAAGCTGCTCTCTTGAGCCCTGATTAATAACCTAAATGGCTTACCGTAATTAGCTAATCCTCAGCCTTAGCATCGGGAAAGCGGAAATTTGACAGCTTTCAAAAGTGAGTAGAGCGTGGCCATGAAGTCCACAAATGTTCCTGCCTTTGTCCTCATCTGGAAACTGTTTCTATCAAAAAAGAGATTTTTAATTTTTTTAAGATAAATATTGTATATTTAAGACTTCTTTTTAATATGTGCTGTACTTCTTTTTGGAATTAGCATGTATTCATCTTTGCACCAGCTTTGTTCTTTAGCACATCAATTACTTCAAAATAGAAAATATTCATAAAAATTATTCACAAATTTTGTTTCTCATAGATTTCATACAGAACACATTCCTTTGGGGTCTATTCCACAATGGATGAACTGCTAGGGAATATTACATTAAAATGTCTAGAATACCAGTGCTGAGAGAAAGACCATCTAAAATAGGGAAAAGCTGTTCAATTGAATTTTGTTCCTCTCTAAGATCGTTGAGATAAAAATTACTGGGAGCATTACTGCAAACATGCGAGTGTTTTTATTCTCTGAGCATTGTAATGAACTTTTCTTTATGAAGGAGTGTGTTGGTAAGAGAAACAGATGTGTATACAGGAAAGCAATGCTGCATATTCTGGATGGTTGAGGTCTCGAGCAAGTTTAACAAAAACCAGTTGGGGATATGTTACTCCAACAAACAAAATTCCTTCTCCCTGCCCCTGAATACTAAGCAAGTTTCAGCTTTTTTCTGGCAGGTAGAATTTTGGAATTCCTAAAATACTTGAGTATTTCAGAGCCTAAGTCACAAAGGCTGTCCTGGGCAAATATTTCAGAAAATTTGCATCTGTGTGTGTTTTTAAATCTTAGCAAGTTTCGTGGTGTTACAGCACTGTCTGAGTGACTGAGCACAGTGTCTGCTGCTCCTCATTTCTTTTTCAAGCAAGTTATTTCTGCTGACTTTTGGAACAAGAAGGTCAGATGCCCAGTTGATTTTCATAGGTGTTCAACTTTGGTGAAAGTTACAATTGTAAAATACTGCCAGTGAAGTAAAATCAAAGGTTTGTATGCAACGGAAAGATTATCTTCTTTCTCCCTCTGCATGGCAATGCAGAAGGCTCCTCTCCAGAGGGATCACTTACAGGAAAGAAGGCATAGCTTTACTTCAGTGCTCTTTCATTTGGTGGGTGTACTACCTGGACTGTGTTTGGTTCATTATAGTTACATTACAAAGGGATACATGTTCCTGCCCTCTAACACAAACATGTATGTCCACCTACGCATGATGGTGGCAGATCTCTCGAAATGCATAGCAACGTGGCTGCGCTGTAGCAGGACACACACTAAAGCTACTGCAGCCTGCTACAAATGAGCCCGGCATTTCCCCATTAACAGTAGCATATTGTGCTGTACCCTGCTTCCTGCTTCAGTCTGTTTCAGTGGGTTGTCTCCAAATTGTGATCGAAGTAAAAGATCTAAGCATTAGCACTGTGCCTGGAGAGTCTGATGAGGATGTTCTGGCTGGTTTTGCGTATGTGTATTGCTGGCTCCTCTCATTTATGGGGGTACACACACATTTGTGTCGCAGCCTAATGGTTGCTGCCAGTGGAAATAAATCTGAACATTACTGCAGTGAAGCTAATGGGCCATTTCCTTCTGGTCATCTTGTAGCGGTCTTTCTTGAAATTGAAGTTTCCATGCTGTGCTTTTGCTGCCAGCATTAAAGTCTATGCAGATTCAGCACAACACATAATCTCAGTTATGACTTGAGTTTTTCCTGCCAAGTAAACAATCTTCAAACTGCACAACAGTGGCAAGAATCTCAGGAAGCCCTTAAGCTGAGGGAAAGGACGCTCTGTTTATTGGTAGCTGTGCCAGCTAACCTGATTTTAAAGCAACAGCCCCTTGAAAGGGGCTTTAGATATTAGCGATTTATAAAAATATCTGCTGGCTTGGTTCTCAGCTTGTCTCCAGTTGAGCTGAGCAGGTATGTTAGCAATTGCATCTGCTCCCCCTGGGTTCCTTATAACTTTCTGACTTTTCTCCTCGTTTCTCGTTTAAGATTTATGTCCATCTCAAAGAAGGGAGTGGTGCTGATGGGCTGGATGCTTTGAAGAACAAACCGCAGCTCCACAGTATGGTGGCCAAAAACCTTTGTCAGAATGCCTCTGGGAAGAACTACATCATCTTCACTGGCCCAAGCATTACCAGCCTGAATCTCTTTGAAGAATTTGAGAAGCAAGGTGTGTATCGGGTGACTCACTAAGTTTTAATGATGACAGACCTTGAGGCCCTCCTGCCACTGAATTAAAAAAAACCCTCCCAAAAGTTTCCTCTGAGATTTTAGTTCTTTGTATAGATAAGATGGTCATCTCTAAGAGAAGATCTCATTCATTAAAAGGTGCTATGCAGAGGACTTTCCAAGTTGATCTTTAAATCTTCCTCTTTAAATCTCTTTAAAGTTCAAAATGAGGATGTGAAAACATTTTTAATAAGGGTATTAAAGCCCTTGCTTTTGTCCTTTGCTTTAGAAATGTGAGGTCTAATCTCCCATATGGCCTGGGGAACTTTTCAAGGGATTTCCTAGCTGCCTGTGGTTTTTCTGTTCCCATTGTGAAGGACTAGGGATGGGATGAATCCTTAAAGGTGTGCCTTAGAAGTACTTGCTAGTTTAATATCTGTTAAAGAACTGGCTTCTCTGGATGACAGTTTGTGCCATTGCTAAAGACCTGGCATGGTTCACTTTTTTGCTGGTCCTTGGAAGAACAGTTTTTAGTTCTGAAAGCATAATAAACTCTACAGCGTCAAAGCACATCTGCCAGCAGAATGTCCATCGATATGGCAGCGTGGCTTTCCCAGCCTGTTTCTCGCTAGTGCTAAGTGTAATCTCAAGGCATCCTCTCTGTCGAATGTCCCCTCACCTTGGGTGTGGAAAAGCCACGTGTTACTTTGCTTTCGGAAATGCTGAGGACTTGTGACTCCCTTTAAAATTACAGGCTTCTGCACTCTTGACAGTCATTTATAACTCATCTTAATGTAACTCTCGGCTTGTTCTTTAATCAGCACAGCCTTTCAGAATTGGTATGGTACGTACAATAGATCCTTCAGAGCAGTGAAACTGGAGGCTGCGGTTATGAATCACATAGGAGGAGGCTACAGGGCCTTTTCAACACACCAGTGATGATAAGAGTTTTGCTTTTGGCATGTTTTCCATTGCAGAAAATTAAACCCACCTAGGACATTATATTAATGAAATGTGGCCCAAAGCAGGGGGAAAGACTGGCAATTGAGACAATATCTTGGTTCTCATTTAAAATAAGACCACCAGTGAGCTGTAGCAGTGCTATAGTTGAGCACTTCAGACTATGCTGGCACTCATGGCTGTCTCTGTTGAGCTCCATTCAGGACCTAACTCCTACATTACTTTAGGTAAGCTGGAAGCTCACAGAGTACAGTGGAATACCGCCATATTCCAACAAAAGAGCCATGGATTCTCAAATGCTGCAAACAGCAAATGGGAAAGAAGTCAAGCATATTTATAGTGCACTAGAGTTCTTCCTCTGAGCAGAGACTGTTAGTAAATGAGTGTTTTCACAGCTGATTATAAGCACTACATTTTTAAGACTACCAAAGCAACAATGCAAAATGTGGGTTCAAGAAGGTGTAGAGAATGACCCACATACTCCTAGTCCCTGAGATGTATCAGGTTTAAATGTAAAGACTAACAGACAAAAATATGACTGCTAAGTCGCACCCTTTATGCTCAGCTAGGGAAGGATGAAGACAATATGCCATGACCCAGTTGGTCTGTAACTCTAGTGAAAAAGATGCATGGCTACTAAACCAGCTGAGTGTTTATTACTTACAGATAATTCAAATTGTTCACAGGGGTGAATTATTCATGGGCTTTGCATGAACAGATCATTCAAATTAACAGTATCTAGCAGGTAGCAAATTCAGTGATGTCTTCTTAAAGCATGTAATTTTGACTTACTATCTGATCAAATATGCTAATGCTATACTGAAATTTCAGTTTGATTCATTATTTGTTATATGGCTTCATGAGGCTTTTTAATGATATTTGACATCTGCTTCCAAAATTAAATTTAACACCTCGTAAACACTATCACCTTCCTGGGGTGAAGCTATGGGGTGGATGGGTGGGCAGACACTAAGAGCAGGTTTATTAGCTTTGCAGAATAGTGTGGCACTCCTACATAAAGAAGATCATGGGGAGAACATGAAAGTGTTTCTGTTTAATAAGGCCATGGGATTGTCTGTGTTTGCCATGAGTGACTAGGGGCTAGCTCAGAGGTTTTGCAGGGGGATGTTGAGCTGGAAAGACTATGAGATGCTGGGAGAGGTGAGATGCTGGAGATGTCAAGCAGTGGTGAAGTCAGTAAGAGCTCTGGAGAAGATGGTGTTTACTGACTTTACTGCAAAGCAGCTAATGTACTGCCAGCACCTGCTGGGATCCTACTGCATTGACAGTACATTTGGGCAGAGGCAGGCAGAGAAGCCTGGGCTCAGCAGAGAGGTCTCTCCTAATGTATCACAGTCACCCTCACCAATGACCTTAGTGCTTTTTTTGGTATGTGGTTTAGCCAACCAAATCTGAACAGGGCTGCACCATGACCAAGAAGTGTCAGGAAAGTCTGCTGAAAAGCATTTATGCTCATGACAGTTCAAGACCCATTCTTAAACTGACAAGTTAACTTTTCTTGTTCAAGAAAATTTAGTTTCTAGAGCAGGATCAGCAGTGGAAAGATCCCATTGATAATTGAAAACAAAAAGAAATTGTTAGTGAGCTTAACTGCTTTATGTTTTGAGACTATCAACAGAGAAATAGGGGGAGATGTAGTTTAGCTAATGATTAGAAACTGAACTTTTTGGGAACTTGAACTGACATTTACAGGAACTAAAGGGAATTCTGGAAAATCTAGAAAGAGGGACCCACTAAAAATGTATTAGTTCCTCTCAAAATTCTTGATGCAAGAGAGCTGGGGTTTTGGTAGCCAGCAAGTCGAACATGAGTCAGCAGCGTACCCTGGCAGCAAAGATGGTCAACACTCTCCTGGCTGTGTCAACAGGAATATAGCTTGTAGATGGATGGAGGTGATTATTGCCTCCTACTCAGCACAGTTTTGGACAACGTGCCCCAAAATGCAGCAAAGGCATTGATAAACTGGAGTAAGTTCAGCAGAGGGCCACCAACCTGACCAGAGACTGGACCACATACTCTGCTATGGGGAGGGAACTGTGCTTGTTCAGCCTGAGAAGAGAAGGCTTCAGGGGGATCCAACAGCAGCTTTATGCTACCCTAAGAATGTTATTGAGAGACTGAAGCTGGCTCTTCACAGTGGTGCAGGATGTGGAAGGACCAAAACCAGCAGACATTAGCTGAAACACAATCTGAAGTTCAGAGTAGATGTTTTTTCCTGAGGGCAGTGGAGCAGGATGCCCAGACAGATTGTACAGTCTCTGTCCTTGGAGGTTTTCAAGCCCAGACAAGATAAAGCCCTGAGCAGTGCTGTCTGACCTCAGAGCTGACCTTACTCTGAGCAGGCGATAGGACTAGAAACCTCCCAAATTGCCTTCCAGCCTGAGCTGTCCTTTAATCCATAGGATCCTCTGATCCTGTGAAGACTTTTGTGGAACATTAACTATCTTTTGCTTTTCCTAATCCTAACCTACACATGTATTACTGCAAAAAGCACACGGTTCTTTATTGAAAACCTGCTGTGTAGCACCTTCACTGTACCACAGTAGAGAATATGTGGCTAGTAATATAAAGGGATGTCGGTGAACATAATTCTAAGGTCTATGAAGATAGCAAGAGCTGGGAAAACTGCAGAAAATAAGACAGAGCACTTTGTCCTTTTTCAAAATCAAAAACCTGAATAGACCTCTTTTTTTATTTTTCAGGGGACATACAAGGCATTTCTTTCTCTGGCTCTAAATAGAACTGGAAACCTGCACTGAAATGCCCCAAATTCTCTGTTCTGCGAGCAGACAGCTGTCATCATTTGCTGTGACATTCATTCATAGTCCACATCCCCTTTTCCCTCTCGAAGCATTAGTGTTGTCCATTACACAGGACAGCACCTCCTAAGGCCCTGTGTCCCATGCTTCCCTTAAATATCTGATCCCTGAAGGTCCCTTTTGCACTTTCTGAGCCAGTAGGAGCAGCTGGCTCTGTCCTGCAGAGTGGCTGGGGTTGGCAAAGCTGCAAGAGTTGCCAGCCTGGGTAACCTACAAGTTTTGCAGGATCCTGCAGCTAAAGTGAGCTTTTATCTCCCTCCCACAACACACCTCCCCCCCATTGCCCTAGCTCTGACTTGACCCAGCATTGCATGCAGGATAAAAGATTGCAGGACATATATTTCTGTCTGAACTAGCTCAAACCTGGATGCCTTTGCAAATGTTAGTAGTGAAGATGTGGTGATGCAGGCTTCAGCACAAGCTCTCTGAGGCCTGGAGACCCTGGCAGTGAATCTTGGGTGACTACACCACATTTCCTCATCTTCACTAAGCTAGCTTAGGTGTATGCATTTATATTGCAGTTAAAGTTTAAGATGACCAGAAGAAGAAAGCCTGTCTCCGCTGACTCCTGTGTATGTGGGAAACACGTGTTGTGACTCTGATTTAACTACACACAAAAACTTGATTGAGCCCAGTGGGCATAATTTTTATTGCTTCAATTGCTATAGTAACTGGGTGGTTTTAAAAAACCCTACAGAGTAAGGGTGTAATCCATGATGAGAGACACTAGTAAATCTGCAGAAGTGCTGCACTTTTCTAGGCTATACAGCAGGAAGGTTACACAGTGTGTTCCTGAGAGAGGAAATGGTTCTCATTATTCTATATGAGGAGTAAAACATCTGCTGGGAGCTTTCTGCAGGCTTATTGCCTGAGCTAAAGGGAAGGCTACAATTAATTATTATGGGATCTCAGAGATGGCTGTTGCTATTTTGAAACTTTAGCACAATAATGTAGTTATTAGCTTGGTTTTATACCATTGCAGTCTCCTGGAGAGAGTATCGCCCTTCAGTGAGTCATAACCTTTAGGCCGCTGAGGAGATCCTTCTCAGGCTTGCTTGTTATAGAGCAGTAAGATCTTAATATTGACTGGAAGAAAGCTTTCTAAAAGTTTGTTAATGCCAAAGTTTGCAGTTATACTGTTTGTGTCCCTCTTAGCAAGACAAAAAATTTTAAAAACCACCTTCCACTGAAGGTGCAGTTCCTCCTATACTGGTTGTAAGCCTGTAGCCATCAGACTTTCCTTGTTGCTTTTTGTGGAAGGAACTTATGGATTCCCAGGGACTGATTCATTCATTAGAAATAACCCATGGAGTGCAGAGTTCCTCCTTCAGAATGAAGTTGTCCCATTGCTGTGTTGGTTGACCTTCTTCTGATATGACTGTCTTAAATTTCTGATGGAAGAACTTTAGTTCCTTTTAGACTTGCCCACGGCAATTGGACCAATTCATGAGTACTAGGAATTATATTAGTATTTCTGTAGTATCTGTGAGCTGTTGAGGGGATGCTCAGCATGCCAGGCACTATATGAACCAAAGACCAAGGAAAGGCAGAGGTAGAGAAGCCACATAGATGGAAACTCAGGCATAGAGGTAACACGCTCAGGGAAAGCCAGACACATAGTCTGACTCAGCATTTCCCCTGTAGGGATATCCAGTTATCCAGCGTCCAGAATTCAGCATGATGAAAAATTTGATCAAGCTGACAGATGAGCTTTAAACTACCACACACCTCTGCTGCTGTATGAAAGATGTGCACAGATGTCAGCTGCTTCCATGCCCATTGGTTTTTTCCACTTAGATGGGTTAACACAATATTTAGGGAGACTGAGGAAATTTCCATCCAATATTTCTTTGTGTTCAGTTAATTTGATCAAGAAGATCTGCTTTTCTTTGACTAGCCTAAACAGGTCATTATTATTTCATAGCCTAATGGCAAATGCAAGCATTGCAGTTATTAATGTTGTTTCCAAATCTTGTTTGTGCCCACCTGGCTGCGTTGAGATATGTTTTGTGGTGTTAAATTTTATTCATTTGCCTCTTTCACGTATGAAATGCCAGGAAGCTGTAAGCAGCAGAATGTGTCACCTGTGGAGTCTCTGATGTCTGTGCAGGACAAGATCAGCGCTCACTCAACTAGGGCACTGTTTCGTTTATGTCCTTTCTCTAGAATCTTTTTTCATTGAACTTGTATTTCCACCTTCATCCTTCTGCCATATGCGGTTTTTAAATCAACCGGTGGTTTCAGTGGTTCTTAATCACTTAAGCAGCATTTCCTTAACAAACCAGAGGATGCAGGTGCAAGGAGTAGTGAGCTGAAATTCAAGAACTGTGAAGCAGTAGATTAAACCAGAGTTTGTCAGCTATGTATATTGTGATTAAAAGCATCATGGGAGTCATGTGGGAGAATTTATTTCAGTTAACGTCTAAGATGCTATAGCTTTCCCTACCCTGCTCCCTCCACAATTTATTCTTAGTTAAACATCAAAGACTCTCATGAATCATAAATTCTGATTTGCTCCATAATGCATATCACCACTGGGGATTTTTTCAGTCCAATTTTAAACATGTTTTGAAGACTGTTACACAGATTATAGATGTTATTGCTGGGAAGATACCCTGAGTTATTATTCTTGTCATTTCATCATGACTGTGCAGGAGGTGTCAGTACATTTCATCAAGAGAGCAGACTTTCTACACTTGTCTCATTTTCCAGAGAAGTTCCTGTAGGACACAAATAAGTGGTATTACAGGGGAGGACCTGTTGGCTATTGTACCCATTGGACTAGAAAGTTGTAGGACAAGCTCTTTCTCTACTCAGGTCATTCAGACTTGCTCCACTGCTCTTGCTTTCTGGATCTGTGCAATGGCTTACTGATAGGGAATGTTTTTGTTCACATGCAGAGATTTACTGCTGTGGGTTGCTGAGTGCCAGGAAGAGTGACTGCACAGGCCTACCTCCATCCATGCTGAACAACCCTGAGACTCCCCAGTCCCGAGGACAGTACAGAATAAGAATGAAGGGAAACATGTCCTTGATCTGCTGGTACAACAAAGGGCACTTCCGTTTTCTGACCAATGCCTACTCGCCAGTTCAACAAGGTAAGCAATATTCCTTCCTTGTCACATAAAGCTCATGCTTTATGTGACAAGGCAAAATGAGTCACCAAGTCTGATAATAAGCCTGAACAAAGAGCTTGATCATAATATCCTAAATAAACAGTGGCAGTAGTGATTACTTCCCTTTTGTGTCTTCCTACAGCTATTCTCCTTTCCCATACAAAGGTTAAAAGCCTCCTTTGTGCGAGCTGGTGGAGGCAGTATCCTTTTAGGTATAGAGATGATATCTTTGCTGATGGTCAGAGAAGGGAAGATGGTTGTTGTATAACGCTCTACTAGTGCCATTTGCAGAGCATCTTGTAGGATTGCTGCTACAGAAAAATTAATAAATGTCATGATGTACATAGAACTCTGAGCAGATCCTACAATTAATTTATCTTATCCAGTAAAAACTTAGTCACAAACAAATGTCTTTTTTTCCAGAAGTAAATATGATTAAGGCTTCCTGTTGTATGCTAAATTGATTTTAGCAGCTGATGAAAATAAACTAAAACAGATAACTTGGATAGTTCACATAATTGCAGAGCTTCTTGATACTGAAATCTTTTTCTTTTCAAAAGTATACAGATGGTTTTAAGAAGGCTTGGAAACTTCTGTAAGATGCAATATGATTAGCTCTTCGAAATTAATCTTTCAGTAAAAAAATGTTTCAGTTTCTTTTGATTTTTATTATTCAGATTTATGTATAATTGCCTGAAACAAATAAGAATAGCCTAACCCTTTGAATGTAAAGCCACCAATTCAAAGGCATCTTGTACACTCATGTTCTGAGTTCTGAGTGACTCTCACATATGTGTACAGGCTACAGAAGTGAAGTTAAGGCCTTGAATTACAGTATGGTAAGCTGAGAAGTTGACCTAGTGTGTTGTTCAATTACTCATTACAATAGCAAAGCGTGGCTGATCCCAGGAATTCTCCTGGACACCCCAGCAGAGCAAGGACTTGGTCACTCAGATGGACCGCTGTCTGAGCACAGATGCTGAAAATATGTACGTGAAGGAAGTACAATGCTTTGGGGACCTTGCTGAAGCCAGTCCCTGGAACAATGTTGCTCCCTGTGAGGGTTGTTCACTGTCAGAATTTGTGCTGTTTCCCTTGTGCACTTTGCCGCATTTAGATAATACAGCTTCGCTAACTGCACAAGAGTTATCACTACATGTCATCTCATTTTTTATAGGCTAGCGTGGAGCATTTGGTTATAATTCATAAATATTACTAGAAAAATAATCTGTCTCTAAATGTCAGTGTTAAATGCCCCATTAAAAGAAGGAGCAAAAGCAGACTGTGCTGGCAGAATCCTTTACAAGCAGCATACGAAGGTGTGAGCTGTTGTGCCTGTGGTTGACCTTGGGTCTGTTTTGGCACAAGTGGGGCTGTAGGTTGCGTGTGTGAAGTAATTCAGCGTCCACTGATGAGGATCAGCGTGTGTGACGGGCAAGACCTGCCCAACACATTGCTCACCAAATGCTGCCTGGGACAGCTGACATAGTTCACGGTGAATCAGAGCAGAAAAAAGAGACTGTCTGTTTAAAGAGTGGTGCTGGTGGGAAAGAGAGTCTCTAGTAGAGATTTGGGAACAGATGGAAACTCGGTAGGAAGGCAGGAAACCAGATTGCCTGCCTCTCATTTTGGCATCTCTGAAGTCAGTGTAGCAAAGCTAGTTTAAACTAACTTGAAGCTGGACCACCAAGGCTTGTAAATACAAAGGAGGAAGAGAAGGAATCGATGCTCCTTGAGGCAAGCCTGTAGCACAGAACTGCTGAGCCAGTGTGTTAGATGGGCGAGGTAGTAGGGACAAAGGGAATTAAATCCCACACAGGGTGGTTTGACAGAGACTCACCTTATGCCTGCCGATGAATGCACAGTGCGTGTTTGCTCTTAGTTGAGCATAAATATTGATGGGAGTGGAGGAGGCTGTGCAGAGAAAACCTTAAAAACAGAAGATGGTCAAGACAAAACTTAGGATGGGAAAAGAGGTGGATCTAGCTACTAATGAGCTATTTAATGCAACTTAAAAGAAAGTCAAGAAGGTAAATCTTGCCTGAACTTGGAGTGCAAATACCACCCAAGCCAGAGGTACCAGGAGGGCAGTACACTTGTCAGAGCTGATCTATGAATACTATTCTTAGATGCAGCAAGTTATTTATTATGGATGTTTTGAACCAACGTGTCATAATACATCATCTCAGATGCTAGAGGATGAGTCTTACTCCTTTAGTCTTGCAAAAATGTCCTGCTTACTCTGCTATCACATATGAAATTTCTGCCTAGAACAAAGTTCGGTTGGGTTTTTCATTTCCCTTAAGCTTTAACTTGAGTTTAATTTTCTCTTGTGCCTGTATTACAGAAGAACTGAGAAGCCAAAAGAGATTGAGACCCCCAGAGAGTAAAAAGTTACCCTTATTTTAAAACAGATGATGTATGTGCTGGCCCAAACCTCCCCATCTGTGGGACAAGGCTGCATTTTTGGTTTTCTACTCTGGACTTGGTGCCCACTTTCTCAGCATCTCCATTACTATGTTCTAGAAATATCTACTATCTTTTCTATTTTTCGTATGAAGCTGGATGGAGCAGGCAGCAGCTTCACTTGCTGCACAGCGGGATGACCAGAAAAACATTTTTAGCAAAACCCTGTCAAACCCAGGATCTTTTGAAGAAGCAGCTCTTCTCTTTTCTTCCTGAGAAGAGCTGCTCTTCAGCAACCAGCTCTACTTAAAAGCAAAAGGAGCAATAGTGAAGGAAAGAAAACAAAGCTTGGGACACATATGCAAAGACTAAAGAGCTGCAAATGGCGTGTTGGCATCTCACAAGTGACTTGTGAGAAGATGGGAGATGTTGTGGAGGCATCACAGTTGTATGAAGCAGATGTATAGCTCGCTGTGTGGTTCTTAGCCTGGGAGAAGTTGGAGTGAGGAGTGTCTGGTGACAGTCTAGTTTCCTGGAAAAAATCAGCTTGTGAGATTGGCCCAGAACTGGAAAGTCTTGGGAAAGAGGCACAGTGTTGAAAAAATAAGTTTCAGGATGGGGAAGCTTAGGGTTTTAACTTTAAATTTCTGTGTGTCCTTTGTGAGACTACCTTCAAGGGGTTGCCTCTAAGTATGGTGAGAGTGGGGATGAGGCAGAAGGACTCTGACGGGAAGACCTTGCACAATGCTGAATGTCTGCAATTCTGATAAAGAGCTGAGTCTTGCTAAAAAAGCCACATAGCACTTTGAACATGCAGTGCCCCCTCTGTTATATTATGTTCTGCAGTCTCAGTGTTTGCCAAGGTGGGTGCAAGTGCTAGTTTTACTGAGCCTCCATTCTTAAACAACATTATTCTAACACCTAAAATCACAGACTGGCTTAGAATAAGTGTTTTGAGGAAGCAAACGTATGTACACCTTTGTCTTTCTGCTAGTTTCATTTTTGGGGTGGTATTCCCCAAGCTTTGCTTGATGACCATACAGCTTAAAAACTTTTAGAAATATATTTTAAAAAGGTTAAAAGAACTCAAACCCAAAAGCTGATGCCTGTCCACGGTGACAGCATGGAGGCTGGCAGCCACATCGCTTCCAGCACACAGGCAAAGGGAGGTGGAGGCTGCAGCACAGGCAGTGCGTTCCCTGGAGTGCTGCCACAGACAGGAACACAGCGATGCTGGGGGAGGACCAGGAGGGGAAATAGCTCCTCGGATGTGCCCGTGAATCAGCTGCTTGGGACTGCTTGCCTCAGAGACCTGCAGCTAGGTCTGGCAGTTGCCTTCCCTGGAGAGGTGGCCTATGGCTACGAAACAAGCCTAGGAAAGGCTATAAAAATAACATGCTTACAAAGCTAGCTATATTCTCAAAACAGAGGGCTGTTATGTGGAATATAATAGAAAGTGAGAGGAACTATCTGGCATTGCTGCCACTGCAATGCATTTTTTTCAGGATTGTGAGTACAAAGCAGATTGCAAAGGCAATATAAATCCTCCAAAGGAAGAGAAGAGAAGAGAAGAGAAGAGAAGAGAAGAGAAGAGAAGAGAAGAGAAGAGAAGAGAAGAGAAGAGAAGAGGGCAAGAGGAGAAAGAAGGGGAATTTTTCTATAAAATGCTAGCACCAGGCATATACCTACCCTTTCCTCACCTGCCCAGGTGAGATGGCAAGTGATTTTGCAGCAATGGTGCACCAGGCTGGCGGTATATCAGCCCTTTTTACCACATTCTGGCCAGATTTTTGTAGGACTCATTAAAAGGATCAAAAAAGCACTATAATAAGCATGTGACTATAATGAAGGATTTATTTATTTATTTGATTGGGTATTTTTCTACTCCTTTTGGGCTACATTTACACCCAGCTTGAGGAGGCAGAAGTGAAAGGAGAGTGTATTGAACAATTTAGAGGGGATATCATTTTAAACTCTTGAAAAAATCAGACTTTAAAGACCCCAACTGAATTGCTGCATGGCTCAGCTGTAACATGACATTTAGTATAAAAAGTCTTGCTTCAAAACAAAGCCTGCCCACTAGGACAGCACAGGAGGCTTGACAGAGATAATGGATGGAACAAGACTTCCAGCTGAAAGAATGAAATGGTGAAGTCTTTAATCAAAACGTGAGGAGCATTTTAGGGATGATTGTAAGAGAGTTCACAGAAGGAAGGCAATAAGACTTTGAAGGCTTGGAAAATGAGAAAGCCCAGAGTTGTACCTGTACTGAAACAGTGCTGAGAAAGGATGCAGCCGAGTCTGTGCTTCTCTAGATCTGGAGAAAAATAGTGTTGTGCCTGGGATCTTCACTAGACAGTGTGGCATGGAGCAAGAGGTGGTCCATACCTTGGAGAGCGGACCATCAAACCTGCAGGGACATAAAGTCAAAAGTTAGGGAGCAGACTCCTACATTATCAGTTTGTTTTACTCATCCTTCCCTCCTACAAGGAGCTTTTCCTGGATAGGGAAAACACAGAGGACAGGAGCAATAAATGAGAGAAGAGCTAGGGGAGTTTCTTAAGAGAGCATTGGGCTCATAAATACTGCTGTAGTGTTGGAGAAGGCCAGGTCAAAGATGCGCCATGTGAGGGAATGGACCCTGTTCTTGGAGTCGCCTGCTCTAGGCACCACATCTTTATCTGTGCAGAGTGGTTGGTAGGTACCTGCTGGGGGCTTGTTGCCTTCCCACAGATTTCTGCAGTCAGCGGGGTAATCATCCCCTGTGATGAGCTGAATCATCTGGCCAGCTAACTAGGCAGGGCAGGAAATGCCGCTCGCAGGCAGAGAAATGTGTGCTTAGCTCTGCTGAGCAACCTCAGCTTACAGCTGAGCTCTGGCTCCCCACATCAGAGGATCAGGCTCCTTCTCTTTTCAGACACTGTGGTTTGGCTCCTTCAGCTCACCCGCCAGCATCACCTCTGTCTTAGCTGGGTTTAACCACTTGGCTCCTGCCTACTGTATTTTCTTTTCTCTGTTGGTTAGCACTCAGTGGACTGGAGCTGCTGTTGCTTTTGGCCCCCGTGGGTGGAGATAAGCAAAGGATTTAATTTCAAAGAAGGACTCAGTTTGGGACCTTCAGAACTGAAAGCATAAAACAGCAAGTCAGAGCTCTAGAGGTGACCACAACTGCCTGCAGACCAACAGAAGAGAGACTTATAGTGTCTGTAGGGGACTGCTGTGAGGCTATGACAATCTGTGGGTTTTTTCTGAACATATGGTAAAAGTGTTTATATCTAACACCTTTTCATTTCCAATTGAAAAATTATTTCTCTTCTTCCCCTTCCACTTGCTCAATGTAAAAAAACCCCAAACAAATTATCATATCTGTTACAGATAAATTCCCAGTTTTAGGACAGACACTGTCAATAAGGTGTATCTTGTAATAAATAGTATATAGAAACCATATCTTTTAATTGCTAGACCTATGATAGATTTAAAACTGTTATGTTTCTATTTGATGCAGGAGTTATAATTAAGAGAAAAAGTGGAGAAATTCCGTGCCCGTTGGCAGTTGAAGCTTTTGCTGCTCACCTTAGCTATATCTGCAAATATGATGACAAATACAGCAAGTAAGTAAGAATGTGTGTGTGTATGTGTGTATTTCTTTTACTTCTTCCCTGTTGCTGCAATATTTAAGTTTTCCACGTTGAGCTGCAGCTGAGGGCCCAATTCTGCTTTCATGGAATTAACCTCTGACAGAACTGTTTCAGTCAGAGATCAGAAGCTGGCTCTGCACAAGGGCAAGAGCTGCATTGCTAGTGTTGTTTTGGCTCTATCTACCCATCCACTAGTCAAAAAAAATTTGAGACTTAGAAGAAGTGTTGGGAAGATGGGTCAGCAGGCTGATGTTCTTGGCCACATCAAATTGAAACCTAAATGGATAATTCAAGAAGAGTCTGCCAGCCCCAAAAGTCTTTCAGGCTAGCTCAGCTCAGGGCATCACCAGCAGATGGTGTTCAGGTAATTATCTGTACTGGTGATATTTTTGTCAGCTGGAGCCAGAAGAAAAGGACATTCACTTGTGGATGTAAAGCTGATTGAGGTGATCTGGGAGAGCAGAATGTAGATCTTTTAGCTCCTGTACTCCAGTTGGGGGTCTCAGTGTTAGCTCTTAGCAAGGTGAAACAGAAAAGAGTAGGAATAGCAGTGATGAAGCTCGGCTGTGGGAATAGAATGAGATGCAAAAGATTTCAAGAACTGAAAACTGAGGAGAGAGAAAAAGCAGCAGGGGTTTTCCAAGCCATTTCTGGGCAAGGCAGCAAGAATTCAGTAGAAGAGATGAAAGAGGAGAAGGTGGTTGCTGGAGACCAATGCTGGGATCTGGTCTGAGGAAATCAATACAAAGAAGAGGTGAGGTAGTAGATTTAAGTGGTTACTAAAAATACAAAAGTGGGAAAGTGGGAAATCTTATGACTGAAGAGTGAATATTCTGGCAGTTCTAGAATTAGTCAGAACTTAAATATAAGGATGTCAGTCCTTTCTAGCTCTGCCTTATGGAGGGGTGCTCCACATACCAGCACTGCGTGCTCTGGCTCTGCCCCCACATCCTCCCACCTACTGTTGACATCAGCAGAAATCATTCTTTGCTTGCAGTAGAGATAAACAAGAGAAGCATCAGGAGTCTTCCCTAAACTGTAGCATAATGTGCCTGGGGCTTTTTTTTAGTTACAAATTGAAGGGATTCAGACCTACAGCTTCCATCATGTGGATGTTTGTCATGGATAAGCCTGAGGAGTCTTTATCAGTGCTTTTCCTTACGTGGAGTGGTACAAAGGTGAGAGTGTTGCTGAGGTTTTGCTTCTGAGAGCAAGGAAGTTATTTTTTTAGACAGTATTAGAAATTTCCAAAATTGTGCAATGTAACAGTAAATGACTGTCAAATCCATAGTATAAAGTTTCTTAAGATGATCCTTGCACTATGTATTGAGTCCTGGGCCTGCTTCCCCTTTGGGACTGCAGAATCTTTGGGGTTTTCTTTCATCCCAGCTGCAAGTGTTTGGCTAAACAGTGCTTTTCCCTCCCCTCCTCTCTTGGCTTTTTTAGGTATTTCATTTCTCACAAACCAAACAAGACCTGGCAACAAGTATTCTGGTTTGCCATCAGCATCGCTATAAACAATGCGTACATCCTCTACAAAATGTCAGAGGCCTACCATGTGACAAGGTACAGCCGTGCACAGTTTGGGGAAAGACTTGTAAAGGAGCTTCTGGGCTTGGAAGACACCTCACCCTCCCATTGATGCACTGTTCTCGGTGGCATAGGCAGAGGGTAGAGGGTAACCAGAAGAAGATACACCTGGAACAGCAAAGCAAGGAACTTGTGATACCACCAGTGCTGTCCTTATCCAAAAATGCCAAGTGATGCCACTAAAGAGGTGGAAACTTTGTTCCTAGTAGCAGCTGGATGTAGACATGTCCTGCAGACAGTGCCACTGGAAAAGCTGACACAGAAATGCATATGTGAATGCCCTGTGGGAATCTGTACACCAGAAACAGACTTAAATTAGTCGTCATCTCAATCCTATTTGTTGAACAGGGTCATCTTGTAAAGTTCCTCTTGGGCTAAGAGCTTGTCATAAACTGACCTAGCTCAGCAGTCTGAGGTGGGCATTACTGAAAACTCTACACCTTACTTGGAGTTACTCAGTTCTGGGACACGCAACGTATGTCTGCACCATGGGCTGTGATTGGGGAGTGCCTGCCAACCTGCAAGGCATCGCTGCTGTCCTCCCAGTGTGCTAAATGAAGCAGTTCAGACACACGAACACTGAAGCAAGCGTATTGACAAACAAAACATTCACAGGCAGGCAGCCAGGGGCTGAGGACCAGTTAAGACTTTTTCTTTCTGTCTTCTTTTTTCTTTACTTTTCTTCATGTAATGAAAGGCAATTTGATCCCAGTTAGAACACGTCAAAATTAGAAGAAACCAAATTCCATTCTAAATTCATGTAATACATTACATTGCTTTTCTTTTTTTTAACCAGGATGAAACATTTTATACACAAACAGTGAGTAATACTGTAAGAGTTAACAGTGAGTAAACCAGTAAATAATACTGCCTCACATCTTAACTGCCACGGTCAGTGTACAGGTGAGAAATCAGAGTATAACAATTATATTTTTTTCTTGATTTCAACTGTATCTTAAATGTTGCTTAAAATTCTAATGTAATGGACTGTTAAGATTTTGGGAACAATAATTTCTTTCTTTTCCTTTTGTACATGTCAAGACTTCTTTGGTCCATTTTAGAACTTCATTTGGCACACAGTTGGCAGGGAAAAAAAAAGTCACTAATAGCAGTGTGTTTCCCATTAGCACTGCGGGGCGTTCTGTAGGAAATCTTGTTAGAATTCAGGGCTTGTCACAGTAGTTGTAATTAAGCAGATTACATGTTTAGCAAAATAACATAGCGTTGTGTTTTACAAAAAGAAAGAAGTCCAGTTGCAACCAGACCTTGAACCTCCCTAAAACAGAGCAAGCCCAAAGAGTTCTTCTGTTCTGAGTAACACTGTAGAGGACAAGCACTGTCATGAGCTCGTGCTCATGGCTGAAACGTCACATTTTCATGCTGGTGGAGTCTTCATGCTGAAACTTTGGAAAACAGTGCTTAGAGAGAGAGGTATGGTTGAAACAAGGGAGAATTGAAATGGAGGTGAAGTACTACCCTGCCCTCTGCACATTATTGATTTCAGTCCATAGCTCAATCAGCAACAAAACTCTGTATTCTGAAGGTTAGCAGTGATGGACACAAACAGAATTACATTAACTTACAGGGCAGAAACCGCATTGCTTAGAGGACCAGCTGGTTTTAGGTCCCCAAGCCTGAAAAGTTTTACCGAAGAATGACTTGGATTGATTCAAGAGTAATGGAGTGATTGGTTGACTGACTGATTGATTTCTTTATCAGTGTAAACCTAACCAGGTTATATGGATCTATCTAGCAGGAGACATTAGAGGGTAACCAACATGAATTTGAGAACTGCCCCAGATTTCATCATTGTGTGATGTGCAAATGCGTGGCATGTAAGTAATAACAGAGGAAGAATCCAGCAAGGGTTAGTAAACTACTGACTGGCCCAAAGAGCATCCTTTCACTGACATCTTTCTATTTCCACCAAAGTCTTACGTTTCTTGGAGTAGGCTTAGAGGCAGATCTCGCCTGGATGCAGGGAATGTAGGGGGATGGCCAACTGCGTGGTTGTTCTGCTTGCAGTACAGCCTGGAGACCATCCCACGTGTTCTGCTCTGCCTGCCAGCGGCATGGTGTACAGCAGTGTTTGCTGAGCATCCCTTTCCACCTCTCAGTCCACAAGGTCTCCACCTGGGAAACAGGGGAAGAAGGACCAAATCTTGTGCAGAGGCCTCGTAGCTTCTAAAGGACGTTCAAAACTTCTTGGCCCTGCAGAGAACTGAGGATCCCTCCTCAGACTGAGCGTGTGTGGTAGCTGGTTCTTTGGTCTTTGTAAGTGTTCACAGGGGGAGAGGAGCTGGTGTGAGGCATGAAAAACAAATGTCCAGCAATATATATAAGCCTACAGCTTCCTTTTATTTTTTAGGGAATTCCACAGAAGTACCTGAAGGCAAATGGTGTTCTTATTGGTCCCTCCTTCAGACACTGCCAGAAACAGGAGAGTAGCTACAAGTTCACTATGTCCTGTAAATTGATATGGTAGTCAAAACTGGGGTGATAAGAAAAGATCTGGCTGGAACTTTGCTGATGGGACAGCTTGGATGAACGGTAGCTGCTGGGAGCCCAGTGTCCTCGCATTCCCCTGCCATGCCAGAGCATTTGGAAGGTGCTCCCAGCAGGGATGGGGAGGTTTACAGGACCTCCCCAGAGTCAGTTGGCACTTGTGAGGCTATGTTGTGGCTCCCTGAAATAGATGTGGAGCCCTTGGCCAATTGCTACATTACTGTGTATAGTTAAAGGCTTGGATCGAGGCCATCACGTATAGAAAAATGCGTTTTCTTTTTCAGGTGACTGTAGGTCCAAGGCCTTGGAATGTTTAATTTCCCACTAATGTCTGCTGTTAATTCTGTGAGTTACTTGAGCTAAAATCATTAGGTCCTAGCTTTTTTGCCTCAGGGACTGGGTCCTGAGTAGTTTTCCCTAGAATTGGTGTTGATGGGGGATTACACAGTGGCTGACTATTACAGGGAAGATGCTTTAGTCTCCTTTGTAGAGGAGAAAAATGAAGACAAAGTTATAGCTTTGCAATGAATTTCATTTCCTTAGCCTTAACCACCCCTCATCATTTTGAACTGGTGCCCAAAGCATGCACAAACATTCCATAAGTAAGCAAAAATATTTATATATATTTATACGTACAAAATGCCTGAATTTTGGCTCTTGAAGCCAACAAGCAAAAGCCACCAAAGCATAGTCTATATCCACAGATGACTGTTCAACCTCATCTCCATTTATTGACTGGGAGTGGATAGGGTTGGGGAAAGTTAAGATTTCCTCTTGTTGAAAAAGCATCTTGCACTTTCTTTATGTCACTACAAACAAGGCAAAGTAATTAAGGAATAAACAGAATCACTTTTTTAAAGGCAAGTGTTTGTTAACTGCAGTTCAGCTTCTGTAGCATTTCCTTTACTGCAAACTGGTTTGCTCAGATTTGGGTCCCTACCTGCTTGTAACATTAAAGCTTTTCCCTAGATAAAGGGAAGAAAAAAAAGAGGTTAGTCTCAAAGTAGTGCGAGGATGCTAGTTATAGTGTGCACGTGTGTGTTAATTGTGCAATGGCTTGTGAAATGATGGCAAGTTTGAGTTGTTTTGGGGTGGTTGGGTTTTTTGTAGCTGTGTCGCAATCTGGGTAAGAGATCTTAAAGCTTGGCAGTAGCTAAAATGCAGTGGAAATGCCAACCAGGTCACAGAGAAACATCTCTAAATTTGTCCAGGGAAAAAAAAAACACAACAAAAAAAAAACAAACCAAAAAAAGAAGGTTGAAGCTGAAGTAGACAAGGGAGCAGCAAAGCTCGTTGCTCTTCTACCAAATTGAATTTTCATTCACATGCACTTCTGAAAACTGAAATGTACTAATTTATAGTATGCAAACTTTGTTTCAAAGGACTGAGAGCATCAGCAAGACATACTGACCACCGTCTATGCACAGTACTTCTTTCAAGAAGTGTCCGGTGTGCCACAATCCGCTCTTGGAAAACATTTCTTTTCCCAGTGTGTAATACAACACTCACTAGAGCTTAGAAGCCACTGTGAAGTGGCTTCCACTGCTGTTGTCTCAGCTGAAAAATGCTTCAAGGGCTTGCAGAAACTCTGCCCCTCTTTACTTCAGCCCATTTGTGCGCTTGACACTAGGGCACAATTTAAAGAAATCTCATCTCTGATTTCCATTTCTATTCTGTAGCCTCAGCCCTTCTTCATATACAAGGTAGCCCAAGAATCCAAATTTATAGAAGTCTCAATGTCCCCCAATTTTGTTTTCTTCAGACAATTCCTAGAGAAAAATAAATTTAGTTGTTTCCAGACTGACATTGAGGACAGCAACTCAAAACAGCGTTCCCATTCTTTACCTCCAGCTGCACTTCTGTGACTTTTGGTTGGGCTTTTGGTGGGTTTTTTTGGCTGAAGAAGTTATTTTGTTTTTCCTTTTATCATTTATTTAGTAGTGTGTCTTGAGCTGGTGAGTAGTGAAAAAGGCCTTCAATATCTCAGTCTTACAGCTGATTTTAGTGGTGAGTGGGGGATTATGCTGCAGTGATAACTCAGTGTATCTGTGCTATTTTCCATGCAAGGATTGCAAAGTGCTTTAACAACCTCAACACTCACGGGACATCATTAGCACCTCAAATAGGAGCTTCCCCTTCCCTCATCAAGCGCAGAGGCACAGCACAGGTAAGAGGGTGATGAAACCGTAAAGTGGAGTTTGTGCTCCTGCTGATTAAGTCCATGTCCTGCATTTTCAGTGACTTTGTTCTTGTTCAGATGCACTTTTCCAAACTGGGAGTGAAAGCACGCTGAACACCATTCCACCCCAAAGTAAGGGCTGTGGGGCTTTGTCAGCACAGGTTCCTTACTCCATGTAGATCGATAAGAGACAAAACCAAGTTGCACTGAAAGTAAAACATGGCAGCCCAGCCTGCCTAGAGGAGGTAAATGGAGAATCTGAAGCTCTGCTGTAGTCCAGTAACCAATGTGAAATTCAGACAAATAATTACCAAGACTGACTTGAGAGAAGTCACTGAGGCTTAGATGGAATTTGAAGTCTTCCATCCATCGCTGTTGTGGAGTTTGCCGTGGCACTTTCTTGTTGCTAGGACAGATGTAAGATTGGTTCCTTGTAAAACCAGAGCTCATCTCAACCTGGTTGAGAACACTGAAGTGTCAAAGCACTGTCAGCAACACCTCACAAAGGCAAGTAACTCTGAGCTCAAAACGTGTATGTATTTGGCCTGTCATTAACTAGGATATTTTGCACAAACAGATCACGTCTTCATCTGCTCAAATGCAAGCCTATCACCAGTGCTA